ATGGCTGAGTAGTATTCCATTTTATAGAAAAACCACAACTTCTTTATCCAGTCTGCAACTGATGGGCAAATGGGCTGTATCCAAGTTTTAACTATTGCAAACTGTGCCGCTATACACATGGTTGTGCATATATCACTGTGGTATGATTCTTTTAATTCTTTTGGAAAGATACCCAGCAGAGGGATGGCTGGGTCAAATGGAACCTCTCATCCCAGCTCTTTGAGGTATCTCCATATTGATTTCCATAGTGGTTGCACCAGTCTGCACTCCCACCAACAATGGAGAAGAGTTCCATTCTCCCCACAACCCTGGCCAACATTTGTTGTTATTGTGTGATTTCTTGATAGCAGCCATTCTTTGTGGGGTGAGGTGGAATCTCAGTGTTGTTTTCATCTGCATCTCTCAAATCACCAACATTTTTTCATATATTTACTTGCTGCTTTTACTTCTTTGTTTGAGAAATGTCTGTTCATTTCAGATACCCATTTATGAATTGGGTCTTTATATTTGGGGGGGCTGACTGTTCTGAGTTCTTTATATATTCTTGATAATAGTCCTTTGTCTGAGGAGCAGCTGGTAAAAACTTTTTCCCACATTGCAGGTTGTCTCTTAGTTCTGTTGATGATTTCTTTTGCAGTACAGAAGCTTTTTAATAAGACGAGATCCCACTTGTTGATTCTTTGTGCTAGTTCCCGTGCTACTGAGGATTTGTTCATAAAGTCTTTTCCTATGCCAATGTCTTCAAGAGGTCTGCCTAACTTATCTTCCAGCAAGTTTAGTGTTTCTGTTTTAATGTTTATATCTTTAATCCACTTGGATTTTAATTCAGTGAATGGTGAAAGATAAGGGTCCAGTTTTAATCTTTGGCAGGTTGAAATCCAGTTTTTCCAACACCATTTATTAAAGAGGCTATCTTTCCTCCACTGAGGATGGTCAGCTCCTTTGTCAAAGGTGATGTAGCTGAGTACATCTGGGAAAATCTCTCTTTTGAAGGCTCAGTCTCTAGTCCCACTCAGAGAGAAAGCAAACCATAGTAGAAATGACACAGAAAGACAAACCAGTCACCGAAATGCACTAAAAACAAATTACAACCAACAACTATGTCACTAATAACAATATAAAAGAAAGGGATAAAAAAGTTAAAAATCAGTAAAGGTAAAAGTAATGTTAATAATTAACAATGAATGTGGTTAAGAAAAGAGAAAATAGAAGAAGCAAGATTTTTTTAAAAAGGGAGAAATGAGGGCTGGTGATTTAGCTCAGTGGTTCCCTTACCTCCCTCCCAAGTTTGATCCCCAGTACCAAAAAAAAAAAAAAAAAAAAAGGGAAAAATGATAAACAGGAGAAAAGAGCAAGATATTTAAAAATCAATTTAAAAAACCCAGTTAATATATTAAAATAAGTAAATAAATAATGAGATAAAAGAAAAAATATGAAATGAAAAAACTAAAGAGAGAAAGAAAGGAAGGGAAAAAGGAGAAAAAGAAAAGTGAGTAAAAACATTTCTGCCTGTGAGAGTATTTGGATTGCAAAAGTTTCTTTCTATGACTCTGATATTGTAACCATCAGTTAAGGAGGGAAAGTAGTGAGTCACACAGGGCACCTCTTGTAGTTCTTCTCTACTCCAGCCTATCAGGCTGGGGCTGTATGGATGCTGAGCCTTGCCCCACCCTTCCCTAGCAGAGAGAGCCAGTGAATTGTATTCTTTTAGACTCAGCACTATGTTCACTTTAGAAGATATTTGGTTCCAGTAGTGGGAAAATGACTACTACAGAATGTGATAGCTGTGGGTTTCTCCTGTGACTAGGGATGTGCCAGTCTATTGCTTATTATTGGAGCTGCCAGACCTCTCCAGGCTTATATTATGGTTGTACAGTCAGATTCTTCTCTTCCCAGGGAGCTGAGGTTGGCACTAAAGAATCCTTCATGTTTGTGTAAATACCAAATAGTTTCTCTGGTGTGAATAAACTGTAATAGTACCTAAGATCCTAATGATATAATAGACAATGTGAAATAGGAAGAAATGGGCTAAAGGTGTAGGAAAGTGGGAAAGGTAGGGGAAATCTAATAAGGGAAAAGAAAAAAGTATGAGAAAATGAAAAAATGGAAATGAATTGTATGTAAAGGGGGAGGGGAGGAGAGGTGAAGGGAGGGCAGGGACAAGGGGAAGAAATGAGAACCAAGACCTGTCATGTAAAGGTACAAGATCCCAATAATGAATGTAACTGTACTGTATACCTAAAATGTACCAATAAACTCAATGAGGAAAAAAAAAAAAAAGAATACTTCATGTTTTACTCTGCATTGTCTTTCTTTGTCTCTGCTGTTTAGCTTTCCTTTTACCTCATGATTCCCAGAACCTTTCCTCTCTTCCTCTCCTCAGAATGCAACTTCTCCTTTCTAAGTCTAAATACTTTTCCTTCAGGGTCACTCAGATGCATTTCTATTCTGTCTTCTCATCTAAAAGTCTCAAAATTAGTCTTTTTAAGTACCGTGAAATGTAATCAAACTAGGTCAGCAAAAAGAAGTTGTCGTGACACTTTCATACACAGTAGAAATTGATGGGAGCAATTTGATGAGTATGAAACCAGATTCTCTAAGGAATAAGTGTCCATCACACTTTGGGTTTATGAGCCGAACAGCCACCCTTCGAATACACCCAGTAGATGAATGCATGTACTCGTATTTGTATTTGTGCATGTACACAATGATTTGAGCATACTGAAAAAGACCTCCCATTTTTTTTTAAAGTTATGACTTGTTTTAAAAAACATAGATCTTTTCAGGTAACAATGAGCCATAATCCTGTGTATATATAATTTTGTAAAACTGATATGTGAAAATGTGGTATGTGAATATTTATGTGAGATTTTAAAAACTAGAAGTCCTATAGTCTTACTTATAAATGTTGATTCTAGTACATCTAAGCATCTGTATTATTTTTATTTTCCAACAATATATAGGCAATAGCCCAGAGGATTGGTAGTGGACTGGACATTTTAGAGAAGTGAAAGGCAGAGAAAATTGGATTTGTAGAAGCTAGTGAGGAGTACTTTCTATTTTGGAAAACTTTCTCTCTAATAAGGTGACAAATGAATAGAAACATGAAAGAGGTGAGGCAGCCACTTCTGCCAATGTACAGGAGAAGCTCTATCCAAGAGTATAAACACAGAGAAGTAAGTCCAAATAAGGGAGCATTTTGGCAAATTTGAGGAATATCGTGTTGATCAGTATGACTAAAGAAGAGTGTGTGTGCATGAAAATGATAGAAAAAAATCATAGAGGTAGCAGGGATGCCAGCTATAGGATTTACCATTAGTGCAATTTTGACCTAACAAAAGAAAAGTTATTAATAAAAAATTATTAAATGTTTCAAAGTGATATTAATAAGGAGAAATTAAATATGAGTCATGTTAAAGTCTGTAAAAAATCACAAGTTCAATGAGTTATGATCACAGTGTAGTCGCAGAGTTGCTGGAACTGGAGGGCATACAACAGCATGGAAGATGAAAAGATAGGGGATAGTACAGTTTTTCTCTTAAGGTGTTTGATGGATCTGTTGTAGGCTATTGGGGTATACAATAGGATTTTGCCACTATTAGCTTAAATTTCTACACTCTTGGAGGGTAAAATTTTGCACAATATCTACCTTTTAGATAGTAAAATTCTTGAAACTGAGCTTATACAGTGGTTATTTAATGTCTATGGAAGTGGGTGGCTGAAATAGAATGATGAACATACTCAAGAAGAGAGATGTTTTAAGAACTAAAAGCCAAAAAAAAAGTAGAAGGATCAACTGTATTGACAGTGACTTCACTAAAAATAGTAACAGAGTAATGCTGGAGAGAGTCCCAGAAATACAGAAGCCAAGATCTTTACAAAACAAAAAGTGTGATTCAAACTTCTAGAGACACCAAGAGGGTAGAAGATGGTATAATCCTATGGTATGAACTTCAAAATTGGGTTCTTTGAGGAATAAGGAGAAACAATTATTTAACAATTATTTAACTTTAAAATATAGAAAGGTCACATAGCAGATTCCATAACACCAGGATGCAGGTGAAAAAGATAATAAAAATTTTAAAGAATGCAAGAGTGGCAATGTCTTTGAGAGAGATCTAGCCTTCAGTTAAAGTAAGGTGAAAGGAAGTTTCTGAATTAATTCTCTATATGTATAATTACAAATTTGTGTGATGTTTTAATTTTTTAAACCATTGCTCAATAAATATTGCCTTGCTACAAGTAAAATTGACTTTTCTTGAAATTGACATGAAATCTAAATGAAGTACATTAGAATCTTTTAAGATCTTACACTGCTAAGTTTCTGACTTCTGAATTCCTTATATCTTTTGTAATAACTTTGACACTCCAAAAATCGCTTTTGTTTATTTTTAGAGCTCTATTGACATATATGTTGTCCTTGAACATTTAGGTCTCGTTCCTACCTGTTCATTGTACCCTGACTCTAGGCTGACACAGATTCCACTCATCCCATAAGCTGGGTGCCTTTGAGCAAGGCATGGAACACTTTTACCCACAGTTGCCTTATGTTTAGTTTGGACTTACTGTCTTTTTTGATATTACTAATCCTATTCAATATTTTTATGTTAATTTATATTTTTAAAAGCAATATTGCATTAAAATGTGATTTACTTCAACTGCTGCCATTTTTTGCCCCCTCTTCAATTTTAAACCTGAGATGAGAGTCTCACTGGTTTAATCCTGGCCTGACTAGTGTCTGTAGGACTTAGACTGAAATTACTGAATTAATGTTCAGAGATGATAAGTTAGTGGGTAACTGAGTCAGCACGAATTCAAGGTAAGGTTATAAATTTTGCCCAAAATTAAAAGATTTGAAGGTACAGGTAAAAAAGCTTTTCAAGAAGTGTTTATAAAGGAGTTAGTTTCTATGACAATATCTTACTTTGGGCAGTAGATGTGGTTGTATCATAATAAGTTTCCAAGGAAGAAAGCAAAGTGAAAATACGTTAGCTACTCACTCAAAAAGAAGTGTTCCAATTCGTGGTTTAAAACTTGTAGAATTTAAAAAAAGTCCTATAGAAGTGATGGTAAATATTCCAGACAGTCCAACTAGCTCACCTGTTTTTTAAATGAAAGAAACATAAAGTTTTACCATAGCGGCACAAACACAAGGCTGCCCCACTTTGTTCCAGCTGGAAAATATTACAAATTATCACCACTATGATTGTCCTGTTTCCTCCTCAGATTCCCACCCAACCGTGTAGTGAAGTCCATAGTGGACATACTTGCACTTCTTCGGCTTCAGGTAATTAGCAGGTACATAAGAGCTCACAAAACTTTTCATGTACTCTAGTGAGGTGTGAGAACCCTGCACAGAGCTGTTTCTTTCTGAGGTACTCAGGACCGCTGAAGTGGAAGTGACCTGATGAGTTCTTTATGGATGAGCCCACTTCATATAGCTTCTTCTCGGCAGACAGTAGAAGATGGAAATAGTGCGTGATAAAAGAAGTGGGGGGATCTGGTCCAACCAAGGCCAACTGTGGATCTATTTACCCAGCACATTTTTTGGGGTGAATTTACTATGAAAGATTGAAAAGTATAAAAAATGGTGGCATTTTCTTTTAAAAAGTACGTCTACTAGAGGTGTCTCTTCCTTGACCTCAACAAAATAGTGTATTATAGCTTAAAATTAAAATAATAGGTAAAGTATAGATATAATAGTTTTTGAAAGACAGCTCATCTATAGTCTGTAGAATATTCTACATCTATATTCTAACTGCATTACTATATGCAGTTAGAATGATAAATTTTCCCAAATCTTCCTTTTGTAACAAACATTAAAATTAATTTTACTGTTGTAAATAATGTTTAGGATTTAACTGACATGTTCTCCTAGTTAATTTCCGTAAATAGTCTACAAGTACAGTCATCCCTTGCTGTTTACTAGTAACACGTTCCAGCACCACTCCCCTATCAAAATGTGATGATGCTCAAATCACTTATATAAAATGTATAGCAGATGTATATAACCTTCCATATACTTCTATATTCTTTAAATACTGTATATACTTTAAATTATCTCTAGATTACTTATACTACATCTGATGTAAATGCTATATAAATATTGCTAGGCTGTATTTAGGGAACAATGATCAGAATTTTTAAAAATCTGTAAATGTTCAAAACAGATACATTCAATCTGGCTGGTTGATGTTAAATTGGCAAATACAGAGGAAGGCCTAATGTATATGTAAATTATAGGAATTTTCCTTTGGGAAGAAAACCACATTATGCATCTTATAAAACAAGCAGATTAATTCTTATTTAAATCTTCTTATAACCAAAATTCCTTCTCTTGGAAAGGCATAGTACAGCACTCAGTATAACTATAGTTTTATCAAATTATTCTTTCTATTATGATAATACTTGATTTATATATCTTGGTACATTGTTGTCTGTGATACATATTCACAACTTTTACCTTTTTGATGGACTATTTTAACAAAAATATTGCACCTTGATAGGCTGATAAAAAAACCTTGCCTATTATGTATTTTCCTGACATGTGTGTTCTTACTTTGAATCTTTATATTTTATCATTTAATTTTAGGCATAGACCCTTCACTTACAAATGTAATAGATGAGGTACAGCGCTGTAAAGATGAGAATTGTGTAACTGACATCATCAAAATGAATGTCAGACATCCACGACTGAATCAGTTTTGAACTTAAAATTCCAAACAAGAGACTTCCTACAATATCTGTCCAAATTGCTAGCATAATATCATGGGCTATAAGAAAAGGGAGAAAATAGAAAACAGTTAGTAGAACTCATGTGCCTTAATTTTAAGTGATGCTTTTCTTTTTGTCTTTACCTTTATTATTGAAATGAATATTAGAATGCAGATATCGCTTCAATTGTTTGTTTTCAAATTAATGTGTATTTATTGTAAAAATTTATACTAGAAGTGGGAAGATACTTAGAGCAATTGGTTTATATGCTTGGAAAAATCAGTTTTATTTCTAAAATATAAAAGATACCTTTTTCATTTCCTATTGCAACAAGTTTGTTGATATATAATACACATCAAGGCCCTTGTTTTCCACATCAGCCCTTCCTGAACCCACAGAAGCAAAATATTTGTTTTGTGCTTTAATAATATTCAATTTACAATAATAGAACTATTAAAATTGTTCTACTTGGGCTGGGGATTTAGCTCAGTGGTTCTGCCGCCTGCCTTGCAAGTGCAAGTTCCCAAGTTCAGTCCCCAGTGCCAAAAAAAAAAAAAGTTCTCTACAAGCTTCTCCCTTCAAAAAGGTGATTTTTTTCAGACTTCTTAGTTGAGTTGTTACTGTCTTTGTATATAGTATAGAATTTGCTTATAAGAAAAGACAGTAAGGGAGTAAACTGTGAGCAATGTAAATAGAAAGATGGGTAGATAAAGTTTTCAATATGCTCTCCTACTTCAGTGTACTTTAAAGACTGCATTATAGATTTTCCTTTGCTTATCTGTTCTAAGATACATTTAATGCTAGAAGAGTTCACTCCTGGTTTCATTTACTATTTTCATTAATTAGCCTTTTTAAAAACCTACTTATTTAGTCACTACATATATTTACTATATAACTCATCTATTCTTGTTTTTTAATTTTTCATGAATTTGTGGATGACTTGTATAATTTATATATTCTTTTACTTTGAATTTAGAACTTTGGATCATATTTTGCTTTGCTTTGTGTTTATTCAGGAGACTGAACTAGAAAGACAAAAGAGGTTATTGCAATGGAATGTAAACCTGAAATGAGTGTACTTGACATTTGCCCCATGTCCTATTGGCTAGTCACAGTCAGAACCTTAAGTCTCCCATGGATGACTTGGTGCGAAAGAGTGTTATGGACAGATTTTATTAATTTAATTTTCTTATTCCATTCATTAATGAATGCTGCTGTTTTTGGAATTCGACAAATGATCTCTTTGGCAGAATCCAGAATCTAAAAAAGTTCTTGTATGGGCCATTGTACATTATGTTTTACTGTGGCTCTAAATAAAATGTAGCAGGTAGATAACAACTGAGTCTGGGTGTTTTCTTAAGCATCAGACTATTCTCAGTCCTATTTAAAATGTCTAATAAATTACTCTTGAAAAATTCTAATCTTCAATAAGTGAATGGTTTGTGCTACTATTCTTTTCGGCTATTGTTATTCTTAAAACTAATTTTTGCTGAGATTGAAAAGACCTATAATTTTTTAAAGAATCACTAATCCTTATAGAATTCTTGACTTTTATATTTCTTAACTTTTCTGTCATTTCTAGTACCTTCATCATAATCATTCTATTGTTACACAAAGCCCAAAGAATGAGCTCCTACTACCCCATTCAAGTATTGTCATTATTATGAATATGAAGAGTTTTGGTCTATTCAAAACAAAATTTTCAAATTCTTATGGTACAAAAATGTATGTCTTCTTTGGAGAAATACCTGATCAGGGTCTCTGCCCATTTTTAAATTGGATTTTTGTTTCCAAGATATGGAAACTCAAATGTCTATCAACAGGTGGATGGATTTTAAAAACATGGTATGTAGGAACATAGAAATACTATTTGGTCTTTGACAGGAAGGTAATTCTACCATTTGCAACAACATGGATGAACTTAAGGGACATTGTCCTGGGTGAAATAAGCCAAGCACACACAGAAAGATTACTGAGATGGTTAAACTTGATTGTGTCAACTTGATTGGCTCAAGAGCCACCCGGGAGATCAGTGGAGCACGCTTCTAGGTGTGTCTGGGTGAGTCATGGAGATGTGACCTCGAGTATTATATCTGGTCCCTTGCCCCATTCTCTGCTGCTGCTCTCTGCTGCTTTGCTTTCCTGACCATGAATTAAATAGTTATGCTCTGCCCTATCTTTCCACCATGGTGTTTCTGCTTTGGAGCCTGCTAACCATGTACCGAATCAGGAACTACATTAAACTTCTTCAAGTGGTGGGTGTCAGGTGTCATGTCCTGGCAATGGGAAAGCTGACTACGACAATCACATTATCTTACTTATATATGGAATGTAAAAAACTTGAGCTCATAAAAGTAGAGAGTAGAATGATGGTTACTAGACTCTAGGTGGGAGGCATCAGGAGAGTAGGAAAATTGTTGATCAAAGGGTACAAAGTTTCAGAGGGACAAAAGAAATCAATTTTGAAATCTATTGCATAGCAAAGTGACTACAGTCAATATCACATATTATCTATTTCAAAATAAGGGAGTAAAATTCAAATGTCTCATCATAAAAAGTTACAGGTAAGCAAGACAATGGATACATTAAATTGACTTAATCACTTACTCATACTGTAATACTTCAAAATGTCACACTACTCTACAAATATATATATATATATGACTTGTTAATTGCAAATAATATTAATTTAAAAACACTCATTATTATTTCTAAGTTGAGTTTCTTTTTAATATGCTAAAACTACACTTAAAATTTGGGAAATTTGTCCAGTTAACTTGAAGAGCTTCTTTCATTCGGTCTCTCCTAAGGAGTATATATATTTATTCAGTACCTACTGTGTGTCAAGTGGTGTAGGAAATCCTGGATACTCTACTAGAAAGTAGTACTTTAGTAGTACTACTAGAGTAGTTTTGCTCTGGTAGAAGTCCCAAACTCATAGAACTTATATTCTAGATCTAATGTAACACAATGAGAATAGAAATAGAAATGCCTCTGAGACCCTGCTGAGTGAATCTCTTATGCTATGTTGGCCTGTCAAACTAAAAAACTTCTTTATTGTTGGTCATCACAATGGCTTTAATTTTCCCTCTAGATAAATAATTTTGCAGTATCTATTTCTGTTAATACTGTTTTTATGCTTATCTGATTACATCCTAAATCCTAAAAGTGAAACTGCTGCTCCTTTATTGTTATTGATATTTTCAGATATTTCTTAATTTTTATGATGCCCTTCCCAGCAAACAGGAGTCTTAGCCCGTAATAGACTCAGTGCCTGGAGCCTGGCATACCAGTGGGCAAAGAAGTGGTCATCTATATAGAGTAAGTAACAGGGAAACAACATGTGAATCACAAATAAGAGTAAGTCTTGGGTCAGGAAGCTGGAGGAGCCAACTCCAATAGCATAAGTGGAAAGCAAGAACCAAACCAAGATAAAGGGTGACTGATAGAGAAGCAGCAACAACTGTGCCAACAAAAAACAAGGCTGAATTTGGAAAACAAATTCCAAAATGGTTCTCTGAGATAGCACAATGGAAGGAAAAGTATCCTTTTTTGAGTCTTGTCCATAAACATCTATTGGTAGGGAGGGCAATATCAGGATTGTGGAGGTGATTTGGATTCTTTCTCAACTATACTCATCTTGATGGCTGAAAAGGAGCCATGGTTTCTAGGTGTTCCAGGTAGAATGATCAATATCTCTGGGGACAGTTGGAACATGAGAGAATTCCATGAGTGGTCCTCTGAGCTATGTGAATTTTGGGCATGGGCTGGCCATGACAGAGTTTGGTGTTTCCTGTCACTGAAATCTAGAACGGAGGCTGGCTCTGGTTTCAAAAGCATATCCAAATCTTGAGGGTTAGACACCAGTTTGAAAGTTGCTTTCTTCTTTAAGAAAGAAAAATAGTATTTAATAGGTAACATATTTACTGGCTTTGTTAAGCCAGGAAAAATATCCAAGCAAATGTAGTATTACTGTTTTTAAACTCGTTTTACCCAATTTGAATTAGGTAAGAATTCTGAGTATAGTAACTATTATTAATTTTCTTTATTATTAAATATATAATGACATCAAAGAGTAACACTGATATTAAGAGCTCAGCTCAAGGCTCTAAAGGCCAAGAAAATAAATTAACTTTTCTTTTTCTTCCAGAAGAGCTTTTATTACAAAAGTAACTGCAACTATTATTGATAGCGATTGCTTACAGTTTCTATTTCTTTGAGATCTAAAACAACCAAAACCCCACAATGTTCTGTTCCATTCATTGTTATCAAAACCATATTGCAAATTCTACAAATGGGAGGGGGCTCGCAGTTGTGTTCCTGGCTGCATTTCGAGGTTCTAGAATAAGAATTTTTGCACACTACACATTATTAAATAATTGTTGGATCAATGAATGGATGAATCAACTTCCACATCAATACCTTCCTATCTATGTTCTCTTTATCACCTTACAGCAAATATGAAAAATATCCTCTTGATTAGACTGTCAATATAATTTCTAATGTATGTTTCCCTGAAGTTCTGTGGCCAATATATTTTAAATGGAGCTTGGTAAAATATTGCTCCAGGTTGAGTAGCTGGACATGCATCCTCTGGCCTGACATATATGATTTTATTTCTTTGTATTTTTCTAGTTTTTCCAATCATCTTGAGTGTGGTTTGTTTGTTTGTTTGTTTGTTTGTTTGTTTGAGACAGGGTCTTCCTATGTAGTTCAGGCTGGCATTGATCTCACTATGTAGCTTAGGCTGGCCTCTAACTCATGGTGATTCTCCTGCCTCAGCTTCCTAAGTGCTGGAATTATAGGTGTGCAACACCATAAATTTTGAGATTTTAAGGTGCTTCTGAATATAGAAAATTTCTTGCTTTTCACCTTAGTCATCTTCAATAAGCTCATGTCTAAAGGATATTTTATGGTAAAAACTCTTTGTGCTTTATTGGGTCACCTCCCTTGTATTCTGGATTTTGCAAAAGGTTGTATATGTGGCTATTTGGTTTTCTCACGTTCCATGGATGGCAAATTTAAAGCCTTTAAAGCAGATGTACTACAGGTGTTCTGAACTTTCATGGCCCAGCAATCAACGATGGATTCAGTTTTATCAGTGTGTGGCTTACAAGTCTCAAAGGCTGAAAGCAAAGGTGTCCTATTTCCAACCAAGGTAACTAACTGTCAACTATCAGGACCAGTTCCTTTTAGGAAGAAGGTAAGGGATGGCCCTCAGAATGGATCTTCTTGGGAAAGAAGTCTTCATTTTAGAGTTTAGACATAAATATGTAAGGTGGGATAGGTGAGAATGGAGGTAAGCAGTGTCACTGGATGCTCAACAAAGAAGCACTCTCCAGTGCTAGTCTCCTCTTCTTAGTGATCAGAAAACTAACTTTGGGGCCAGGGATTTAGCTCGGAGGTTCTGCTGCCTACCTTGCAAGCACAAGGACCCAAGTTCAATCACCGGTACCAAAAGAAAAAAGAAAACTAACCTGGTATGCTCTTCACTTTTGAGGAGAGGGGGTAGTAGAAAAGCCACATTTTAACAGCATGAATTATTTGGCATCATGGAGACTCCCTGATGAGCTAGACTGGCTTGTAGGCACTTTCTAAATGTTTGTTTTTCAAAGAGATAGGATAAAGGTGGTGGAATGAGACAATACTGTGGGAGGCCTTAGAATAATGAAGCCACCCAATGGTGGAAAGGTGTACGTTATCAATTTCTTGAGAAGGCTCTAACGACTTTTCAAAAATCAGTGGAACTATCCATACAATAAAAAGGTAAATAACTTAATTATTTTGAAAATATTTTTACTTCACGAGCATCTTAAATGAGTCTTGTGGATTCATTTTATCCATTACCTGGTGTTTCAAAGACTACACAAGGAATAATTTTCTAGGAAGAAGAAAAGAAGTTTTGACTGGTGAGGGCCACTGAGATGCTTCCAGAAGTGCTAGTAATGTTATATTTCATGTTCTGGATGACAACTGCACAAATGTGTAGTTGATAACCATTCAGCTTTGAGCAGCTTTCAATTTTATTTATAAGCACCGCTTCCCGGCCCTATGGTGAACACACAACTCACACTTTCTTCCTAAACTGACTTTATGGTATTTGTCTCATAGAAGATAGTCTCAGGGAAAACAGGAGGGAAAGCTGCTCCCTCTCTTGCTAAGACAGGATGCACTACCTGGGCTTATCTTCTGTTTTCCCACACTTAAAAAAAAGTACCTCTTTCATCTTTCTTGTCTAACATTTTGATTCAGACCAAGCCTGTGGAGCACTGCTCTTAGAAGTGTCCTCATTGAAAGCCCTCCACAAGCCACACAACAAAGCCACAGCTAATGTTAAATAAAAGCTCTATGGTAGTGCTACATAAAAAGTAAATCATTACACTGGTTCTCATTGTTTTGTATCCATAAATGTAATTTATGGTAAGACATTACAAAATCTATATCAGCTTTCAGGAAATACAGAATTCTGCTTTTAAGAAATAAAGAAAGAAAATGGTCCTTACCTAAATTATGGTTTACTATGTGTTGACTTCTCATGTTAATATCCATAGTGGTAGAAAATACGATTAATGCTATAACACAGGTTATCACGCTTTCTCCATTAATCAAACTTATGAGACTTTTAGAAAGACCTATGTATGTTGAAGGGGGGGATTTTTTAGGAGAGAAAAATACCAGTATTAAAAGGATAAAATTTTATTGGCAAATAGAAAAATGTTCTCTGCTTTGGATTTATACTATTACACAATTTCTCTTACATGCTTATATTTCAGTTATAGTTGAAAACTCCCTTCAAGGAAAGTTAATTACTAAACTATTAATGAAATCCAAGTCTACATTGTAATCATTAGGTACAAGATGAATTGTGGTTCATTACGTTTATATAAGTCAAAGATTTAGTTTCAGTTCTCATTCTTTGTTTCAAATCACTGATTAAAAACGTAAAATTTATTAATTTTTTAAAAAATCCAGTGATTGGGCCTATGGAAGTGAATTTGTTGTTAAGGATTTTTAAAGTAAGACAGAAATGATGAATGATGCATTTATTGACCAAGGCTTCGTAACATGGCATCTCAGTGTTGAGGCAGTTATCCGCATAATCTAGTTAGATGTTGCCTGACTTCTCCATCTATTCTTTTCAATAGCTTTAGAAATCAAGCTGTACCCTATTACCAACTTTCATCCTAATTTTCCTCTCTCATGGTATTCAAAGTTTATGTATCTGTCAGTTATCCTTTTCCTCCACCATTAAATGTACTTGCTCTGGCTCAACTATGACTCTGAGAATCTTTAGTGTTTTACTAAAAAGGAGAAAACTGTTATTAGATAGTAAAAATTCTTTTTGTGAACCATCCCCTCCATAACTCTAAGTTTGCTGGCAGGAGAGAAGACAAGTCAAAGCAGTTTGTTCCTCTGCAAGCTCAATTGCCTTGAAGGCCCAGTTCTCCGCTTTGCTGTATCTATGCCTGTTGCTCTAAGACTGCACAAAAGGACCCATCTGTTTGGTTATGAGACATAATGAAAGCAGAGACTTTTGCTTCCTCTTGCTTAGGCTCCTGGAACCCTCCTGGCAGCATTTCCTGGCCACCCTCTAAAAGGAGCAAGAGCAGTACATGGAGGAAAGGCGAATTCTCCTGGTTGACACCATCCCAGATCACTTAGTCCACAGATATCCACCTCCTAGATGACTGTAGATGGATTTGTGAACGTACCAAGATGAGCAGAGTCCAGCCCATTATCATCAGAACTGCTTCCCAGATTGTTGTTTTAAGACACTACATCTGCAGTTTATTACCCAGCAAAACCTACTATGATGCTTTAATGGTTTCATTTAATAAATAAAATTAGCATATCAAAAAGAGAATATTTTAAAATAATGAATTTGGGGACACAAGTCAAAAAGCAAGATAATGTTGATGCACTTATGTATGGTATACATAGTCCTACATAGATTTTTTTATATTCTCAAAATATGATTGTGTATATAACATCTAGATATATAAAGAATATGTTTGCAAGGATAAAAGTTATCCATATTTATGAATTTATAAACATATAAATCTTGCTTTGCAAACTCAAGCAGAAATGCTGCTAAGTGGAAAATGCTTGAAAAATTTTTTTGAAAGGTGCAAAGTGAAGAGAAAAATAAATTCCAAAAATGAAGGCAAGATGGCCAAAATGTATGAGAATGACAAGATATAACAAATAGAATATTTAAACGCCAAAATAACAGGCTAGAAAATCAGTGACATACTATATAACAAGATATGACAAATTGCAGGAAAAGTATAAAATCAGCTCCTACGTGTTATAGCATTAACTTCCTCAAATATTTTGAACAGACAGTGTTGGTACTGAAAAAGCCATGTAAAGAGAGATGTGGAGTAAAAACGTGCAGAGAGGAAGACACGAATGTGTCACATGAATATTCTATTTTAAAACACTTTCTAATTGGCATCATAAAAATGCAACTTGGAAATATTAGGGATAATCTTTCTTGTGGAGGCTTTTGAAATATTTTGATTTTCTGGGTTAAATTAACTTGGCATTTTACCTTTCAATATAGATTTTTTTATACTGAAACTACTGCTATCACCAGCAATTTTATTGTTTTTCTTACTTTTTAAGCTTGGGTTCCCTATGATGACAATGACTCCAAAGATATTTTTTTAAATGTTATTATCCTACTGAGTGTTTTCATTTGGGCCAACCAACATATCTGGAACAACCAAACTGTAATTGATATTATAATACTCCAGAACTCTTCTGTTGGTTCAAGGTAGAAGCCTGTATAAATGAAGGCTTCTAAGCAATCACCTGCCCTAGTTCACAACTGGATATAATGCTCTTTTTGGACACTGCCATTTTCTTCTGTCCTAAGCATCACTTCCAGAATCTCTTCTAAAAATCTTCAATCTGTAATCCCTCACTACACAACTTTACAAAGTGGAAAGATACTACACAAAAAAATCTTAAAACTACGACACATTAATTACAAAATATGATAGCTTAACACAGAAAAAGAGAAAAATATACCTACCAAGGTCTTTTATGGCAGCTGCAGTTAACAGGGGATCTGAGCTCATAAGAATAACTGAAAATAGTGACCACTGCATGGGTTTCAAAAGCAATTTATTCACAGATTGCAGATACCACAAAATTAACATATAATTAACGAAGAAGCCAGGAATTGCAATTAAAAATATCTGCAAAGAAATTTATAGTAGAGAAATCAGATTGCTTCTGTGTTCCATTTTAAAAAGCAGGTAATCGGGATTATTATAGATGTAGAACCAGGAAGTACTAAAAGCACCCATTAACAGTTATAAAAGCGGGACTACCCAGGTCTCAAATTCTGAAGCCAAACCCTCCTGGACAGAGATAATGGAATGGCTTAGCAGAAAAAAAACAGCTTCTGCATTTTTTTCCTGAACTCCACGTGTTTGGATTTGGATTAAAAATATAAATTGTTCAAACAATTTTGCTTCTGATGTAGTTTAAGTAATGACCTCATTGTTACTAAATTTTTCATTTCTTTGAAAGAAGTGCACACTCTACATATAATCTCGAGTATTTTATCTCAAAGTTTTCCCCATGACCAGCAAAATCATTGTAGATTGCAAATTAGAGTCTGGCTGCATCTGTTGGTTTCCTTCTCAGCTTTTCTTCATTTCTACGTGGGTGTAGGAAGCTTTAGACTGTATGAACTGACTTGAAAGCATGGCTTTTCTCAACAAGTTTTTTCTAACTAGAGCTAATATACTTCCATAATAGTGCCCATAAGCTTCTCAGAATTAAAGTTATAATTGGTATGAAGTTCTGCCAGATTTTTAGAAACTTTTTATATGATTTCCCCCTAGGTTTTCAACATACCAGACAACTACCAAGATGTGATTTATTCACTAATATATGAAGCTAAATTTACTACTCTGATACCCTGTACTTTTCCCATCTTCTTGGTTTTCTATTTTGGAGCAATTTTTCTAAAAGTGCAAAACTGGCACATGGTTTATAAATGATTTTTTTTTTTTTAAGGCAAGGTCTCGCTATGTAGTTCTGGCTGGCCTTGAACTTACTATGTAGCTCTGGCTGATCTTGAACTCACAGTGATCCTCTTGCCTCAGCCTACTGAGAGCTGGGATTATAGGTGTGTGCCACTAAGCCCAGCTTCATGAATGAATTTTATTACAGAAAAATAATACTTACCTGCCACATTAACTTTTGGAGCATATATACATCTATTTCTAATGCAACATTAAACATAATTACTGGTATGAATATACCAAAAAATAACTCTGGATTCATCCATTGTATGGTAACTGCATATCTTTGGATCTAGTAATATAAAAATATTTTAGTATATGTGCTGCCAAAGCGAGTACTATAAAAATATTTTATCTTTCCCTGTCTTAACATATCAAACTCCTCAATCTCAACAAAGAAAGAAAATTATGAAAAGATAAAACACAATGTAATAAGTGCTAAAGTGTTCACGCTGCAGGATTTTCATAATTTCCCAACTGATTATTACCAATTGCAGAGTAAGGTTAATTGTATATCTTTGTACCTATTTTTTTAAAGACCGGGTATAGGGAAAATATTGACATGGAAAAACATGTAACTAATTTTAGCATACAAAAGAAAGATGCTTCAGGTATGTGGCTTATCATGCACAAAAATACACACACCCAAAAAGATTATATTAAATTCATAAAATCATAAATAATTAGACATGAATTATATGCAAGATACATGTGGAAGAATAAGACAGACTAACAGGAATAAAACCTGGAAAGTAAATAAAACTAATTAATGATGTTTACCATAAAACATTTAGTTGATTTTAGCGAATTTTATCATCTATTCAATGTTTGTTCATTAAGAAAACACTAAGTATATCTTTTTTGCATTAGATGTTAGGTGACATTGTTGCATTCTCCATGGGTTTCTTTTTAACTCCATGTCCTATGAATGCAGGCACTGATTGTTTTTCCTGTTACATTCATAACAACTGAAGTAATTACTTGCATCTGGTTCTTAGATGAATACATATTGTCTATAATTTTTGTGAATATTACTGGGTAAAATTGTTAAGAAAAGTTAATCATTTTTCAGACAAGTTCTCATATCTATGATTTTTTTACTAGGATTGGTAAACTATGGCTCCTGGCCCAAATTTAGCCCATTGCTCGTTTTCATAAATAAAGTTTTATTGGAACACAGCTATGACACTCATGTTTGCCTTGCCTATGATGGCTTTTGAGCTACAGTGGTAAAATTGACTGTGACAGAGATTATAAGGCCCACAAAATGTAAAATATTTATTTACAGAAATCTGTCACAAACTGAGCCACCACACTGTGTCAATAATAAATTCCATATATTTCATAGTAAATATTCTCTCTCTTCTTTATCTGATTCGAATTGTCATCAAGTACTTTGCAATACTGTAGCTGCCTTGACTATAGTTAGCCTAGCTTCTCACTTCCAACTTCTGGTAAGAGGTTCAATTTATGTTTCTTAATATAGTCTATCCTAGGCACACTGGAAACCCTAAGAAAAATTTTTAATTGAGGCCAAAAAATGGCTGGATATTAGAATTAGATTACTACTAAAATTGTGTATTGGCAACACAAAATTTCCCTGAGATCCTATGTTGTTAGTTAATTTCTTTTCTACATTTTTGAATTCTTATTAAAAACTTATGGGCCATTCTAACTCAGTAGCTGTATGGGCATTCCTTCTGATCTACCTATATACTTAAGACTGAGGCTCTGTTTTGAGTGTGTTTAGGCTGATCTCACCCTTTTCAGGCCTGGCCTTTTTTCAACATTGCAAGCATTAATCAGATGACAGAGCAGCAGAAAGGGGATGAATATTTTTATAAATTTTCTTAATCTAAATTTGCATTTATATCATTTTTAAATATAGTATAAAACATTCATTTATTATACTCACTTCAAAAGATGTAAAACTCAGTATTTCAAGACAGCATCCAAGTAAAAACAATATCACAGGGACAGGAATTAGAAAGATTTTCAAGTGCATGTTCAAAAATGCTGCAAAACATATGTTGCTACTGAAACACCATGAAGTATCATATTTATACAACTTTAATGTTATGATTAATTAGCAGAGTAACGAAAAGCTATTCATTATCAATTTCATATTTTCTATAATCAAGACCTTCCTTCACACTGCCTGTAATTTACCCCACAATAAAAACCTAGTTACATAGTACATATTACAAAGCCCACAATAAATCTTAACTTTGTTAATTGGTGTAATCAAGCAGCAATACACAATACTTACTAAAGCGCTTTCTTCTATTTCATTTGTCCTGCTTCTTTGTCATGTAATTCCTACTCAAGTCAAAGAAAGTAGGAAAGAACAAAAACAAGTGTTTTCCTTTAGTTTCTATAGTGTTCTTATAAGATCTGGGCTTATATTTGTCATTTGTATATGACTCATAGGACTCCCTACCCCAACATTTGATTTCCTGATAATTTGCTTCTACTAATCTCACCATTGAAACCTATGCCTGATCTAGCAAATAGGAAGGCATGAGCACTGTGAAGCTGACAGAAGTGATTAACATGCAAGACAGATAGATGCTACATCTTTCGCCTCAGGGGAAAACTATTCTTTCATCCATTGTATGGAGGATATTGTGCTAAAGGAATGAATTTAGCAATGACATTCTAACTTCCTACCACTGTTACTTTCTTTAATTCTGTATGTTAGCATTTATTACACATATCCAAGAAATAAAATCAGAGAGAGAGAGGGGGGTGGAGGGGGGAGAGAGAGAGAGAGAGAGAGAGAGAGAGAGAGAGACTTACCTCCAATAGTACAAATGAGAGACACTATAAGAATAATTTCAGGAAGATCATCAGCAGAATTCAAAAACACACGCTGGATGAATGACAACCATGTGTCAGAAGTATTATGAAAAATGACATGGGAAAGATCGATTTCATCCATGTTGTTTCATACAGTATTTTAAAATCTAATTCTATGTCTTTGCAAAATTCAGAGAGAATCAAAGGAACATAGCTTTCCTTTCTTGGTGGTCTTGTAATATTTTTCTAAAAAAAAAAAAGAAACCATATCACTTCTGTTAAGTATTTCTGGTGATATCTTCTTATCTTTCAAAGTTAGAGATGCCCATTTCTTTGATGAAGCTTTCATTTTAAATAAACTGGAAAAGGTAGAATCTTGTGTGATAAAGACTAGGGGGTGACACCAGTTGTTCTTTTACAGTGCCAAGCAATACTGTTATCATCTATTCTGTATCAACCCAACTATCTGAAAGAAAGATCCTTCATCTAACCATTCACCTGTCATTGATAACACAAACTGGGACAGGTCACTCAGCTCCGGAGAGTTACCCTTCTCTTATCTGAGCCTCTGGAAGCGTGTTCTGGTGTTTGCTAAAGGTGGCAAGTAAGATGAGGGAAGAATATTCTGATCTCACTTATTTTTTGTACAGACAGAAATTAATAGAAGATGTTGATAACCAATCACAACCTTCTATTATCTCATTTGGATCACCAACAGGTCAGATTTTCTCTTTGAAATATTGGCCCAGCAACCAAGAATGAATAGTATGAAAATCCCAAACAATTACTTAAGAATTATTAAATTGTTTTATCTCATGGTTACTTTTTGAAATAAGAAGAAGGGTTTAGATAAGGGTTTGAAACAATTAATAATTGTCACAGTCAGGTAATCAAACAGGCCTCTCAGGGACAGAATAGTTTTATATACATGGACTTAAATGTCCTACAGGCTCAGTATTTGCTATTAGCTTCTCATTCAGTTGCCTTAAGCAACCAGTTATTGAACTTCCTCTAATAAGCATTTTTCATATATACATACATTTTAAAAGCAGAAAAAAATCACATGCATATCATCTAGTGACACATGTATATATATTAGTGCATGATAGCAGTACAAAATAGTGATGCTAATTTTGGGGGACTGGCACATGCATATAACGTATTATCTTGATAATGGTTTGCCATGTAGGTTCTCTGCATTAAACTATCAGTTAAATAGCTAATATATAAAAAAATCTTCTTGTGTGAGGTAACTAATGATGGCCTTCTCAACATTTCATGTAGACTGACCAGCCAGCCAGCCAACTTCAGATATTATCTTTCTGGTGGAGGAGGGAGTCACGAAATTCATCCAGTCCCTGAAAGTGAGAACATTCTTCCCCCCTTTTTTTTTAATCATTGCATTTTGCAGGACCGAGATGACAAAAGTACCCTGAAGAGCACACTGTGAGGTCCCAGTACTCACAAAGCTCCAAAGTTCATGATGGTTTGTGGCTCATAAACAGCAGGGGTTGGATCACCTCCTTGGTAAACTCCACTCTTACACTAGGCACCCTTCCTACTACTCACAGACTTTGAAGGTGGATTGCCCGTTGCCCTTATGAATACAAAAGCATTATTCCCAAGCCAGTGACACATTCGGAGGAGTTTCAGGAGTTGAGGGGGAGAAAACAGAAAGCCTGGTTAATCTTTGGGAGAGGTCTTTCCTGATAGCAGTAAGAATGCCCCAAGAGTGAGTGACTGAATCTGAGCTGGAATACTATGGGAACATTTGCTTTTCTGGAAGAAAGGGTTGAAAGTACCAATGGGAAAAGGTGAACCTCCAGAAAAGGAAATGAAAGGAATGCTCACCGCCCAGAATCTCAGGAGGATACCTTGACGGTTGAGAGAAGCTAAGGCCAGCCATTTCCCTGACTTCAAAACCAGCCGAAACCAAGGGCAGTTATAACCGCAATCATTTCCTCCAAGTCCCACCCCTGGTCTGCATCCATTGGCTTGGGGCTCATAATCCTCGATTTGATTGGCTGATGAAATACAACGTCATTTCCCAGTATGCCCTTCATTTCACGCTTCAAGGCTGTTTATCTCTAAAAATAAATTAATCAAGGTTGAAGAGATACCTCCAGAAATTGTATTGATTATGTGGATATTAAACATTGGAATAGTGGATTTCTGGCCAAGTCAGTGGAAACTTTTCTCATAATTCTAGTGGGAGAAGGATTCCTGGATAAAATAGGATAGTAAAGATTTTGAAATATATGGATATTAGTGGGCAGGGGAAGGGATCAACAACAGAGGAGAATACACGACTATGTGGAGCAAGCAAGAGAATGAAATCAAGATAGGAGTAATGATATTTTCATTTTTTCTAAACATAAGTATATTGTAATCCAAATTAACAGTGTTACTGTGAAGACAATTTTTATATTTCTACTCTCACAGTATAGTTTGGGAAAAGTTTTGCAATGACTCAAATCTAGGTAATTATTTGGAATGTGAGATACCGCCTTAAACTTTCACTCTCAGGAAGTTTTTGTGGAACTATTTTGATGTGTATAAGAAAGAATGAACAAATTGGGTGCAGTGATGCATGACTGTAATCTTACCTACTTGGAAGGCTGAGGCAGGGAGGTCGAAAGTTTGATCCTGTCCCAATTTTTTTTTAAAAAAGATTGTTTTCCTGGGGATCTAACTTAGTGGTAGAGCACTTACCCAGCGTGCACAAGACTGTGTTCAGTTTTCCTCTCCCCCTGTCAAAAACATTTGCACAGCCCTGTCATAGCCACAAAATAATATCCATTGTTGAAGGAAATGAACTTTTCAGATTGACAATGTAAATCCATTATAGCAAAGAGCCAAATAAAGGAATTTAAAAAGTGATAAAAGAGATACAATGTTTTAATAAAATATAAGTTGAAATTGTTCCTGAGTAATTTATTTAGATGAAAATACAAGGATTTCATGGGAACCAGGGCTGTAATCTCAGTTACAAGAGAAGATACAGTAGATACAGATACAGGAGGCAGATACAAGAGGACTGCAAGCTGGAGGCAACTTAGTAAGATTCAGTCTCAAAAAAAAAAACGTGTTAAGGATGTGTCTCAATAGAAGGTCTTGGGTTCTAGCTAAGAACTTCTAAATATTTTTTGTCTTAAAAAATCCACTATTTGTTTTTGTTGATCTTTATTGTTCTAGTCTCTGATTACAGTATCATTTTAAAAATTTTTCTTCAGCTAACCTTGTGTTTAATTTGTTCTTTTTCTAGTTTCTTGAAATGTAAAGATAGGTCAAGAGCTTTTAAAACTTTTAAATGTAGACATTTATAGCCATATGATTACCTCTTTAACTACTTTTACTGTGTTCCATGTTTTGGTATTGTCTTTCCATACCAAATCTTGAAAACTGCCTTGAGAAGTTTTTGTTGTGTTTCCTTTTTGAGATCTTCTTTGATTTGTTGGTTTCTCAAGTTTTTAATTTTCACATGTGAAGTTTTGCATTTTTTTCTATTGTCAGTTTACATTTTCATACCATTGTGGTGAAAATACATACTTCATATGATTTAGATATTTCTGAATTTGTTAAAGACTTGTTTGGTGGCTAACACATGATTTATCCTGGAGAATGTTTTATATGCACGTCAATATTTATTCTGTTGCTATTTGATTAAATATTCTCTGAATGTCTACTAGGTAAACTTAATCTATAGCATTGTTCAGTGCTGCTATTTTACTGACTTGCCAGAAAGATGATCTGCTATTGAAAATGGACTATTGAAGTCCCTTAGTCTTATTGTGCTGATACCTATTCCTCTGTTCAGATCTGTTGGTGTTTACTTTTTATATTTAGGTGCTTCCAAGTTGGGTACATATATGTTAACATCATTATGTCCTATTCATGAGTTGACTTTTTTGTTGTCATACAATGGCCTTCCTTGTCTCTTCTGGTAGTTTCTTGCCTACAGTCTATTTCATCTCACATAAATACAGCCACCCCTGTTTTCCTTTGCTTTCCACTTACATTAAATATGTTTTCCCTTTCTTCATTTTCAATCTATGTGTATTCTTAAAGCTAAAAAAGTCTCTTGTAGGAATTGCTGATTTATTACACAGAGCTAGAAAGAAAGGGAAAGAGGGAAACAACTCTGGCTATAGAAACTTGAAAGGGCTCACTCTGATGCAAGGGTGCAAACTAACCGGCTTTCAAAAGAAGGAGGCCAACTTTTAATGATTAATTGAGGGGGGTTAGGGCTTGGTTGATCACTATTTCAGTTTTGGTTTCATAATTCTGGGGAAATTCAATTCTTATGAGATGATTTTTCTTGATTGGAAGGGCAATCTCATCATGCAGGGGTCTGTTGGGTTTTGCTTTTTCTGTTATCTGAGATGACTGTGGGTTTGGAAAATTTAGAACATCACTTTGGAAACTCTGAAATGGACATTATAAAATCTGCCAGGCAATTGGATCCTTGCAAATCCTAATCACAGTGGTTTAGTCACATTTGTTTTAATGTTCTCTATCTCGAAGTGTGCAAGATAGGCTAGGTAAAGTTTCAACTAATAAACTTTATAATACAAACAAACCTTAAATGAGTAATATGGCTACATGCAGAGTTAAGCAAGGATTTGATCCAAAATTTTAAGGTAATAAGGAAGAAAAAACAATAAGCTTATTGTCTTTTCTCTACCTATTATATCCTCCCTCAGGAAGCATATAGTTGGATCTTTTTTTATACATTCATCCACTCTCTACTATAATTGTCATACTTTGTTTTAATTCTTTAGTCATGAACTTCTTTAAAGCACCTTTCTGGGGTCTGAGTAAATCTCTGAAATTATAAATCTTGTGTTATATTATCCACAAGAAATGAGTCAGGGGCTAGGAATTCACTTCAATAGGATTTTCTGCCCTTTAACACAAACATTAGTGTCACTCTTTGACTTGGAGGTTGCTGGCTGTCTAATGCATCCTTATTCTCTATGAGCCTTCCCTCCAGTGATTGAAAAAACCAAAAGTAATAGATTCTTAGCATCAGTTTTATTATTCATTTGAAAATTAGTTTATTTTCACCTTATTAGCTAAGGAAATAAACTCTCTGCTGGGGGATGGGACTTTGAGAATGAAATATAGATGCAGGTCTTTACTGAGGGATTAAAAGATAAGAACACCTATAGCCATTGGAAAGACAAATATTGGTTGACAAGGGTAGGGTGTGTCTGACAAACAAAACCTTAGGACTTCTGCTTCTTCTCAGGCGGAAGTTAGGGGAGAAGTTAGGAACAGAGAAAATGACATTGAGTAGGAATATATATATATATGGAAATAAAAGAGCATACTCATTTCCTAGAATGTGTCTTTTGAGCTATTATTTGTTACTGTGGGCGTGTGGTACAAGTGCATATTTGTGTGAAATGAAAGTTGGCTGCTGATTTTAGTCTAGAAAAGCCAAGTCTACTCCTTGCTTCCATCCACCCCTCTGATTCATCTGGCTGATTAAAGGAACTTTTGGGGAAATTTTGGATAAAGAACATTGTTTCTGAAAGATAGGACACATAGTCCTCAAGTTTTCGTACCCAGTGTATAAGTCATGTGATTGCGCAGAACAGCAGGCAGATGCAATACTCACAAAAATGTCTTCATAGAAATATCTAAAAAGACGCCTCATAACAACGCTTGAGAAACTTCATTAACACCAAACCAGCACTCCAAACAACTCTGAACACTATTCTAGAAAAGACAATGAGGATCACAATTCCATGAGGCCTAACAGAGCAAATCCATCAGGCAAGACAAGAAATTATAGGGAGAGGAAGATAAATAAAAAAGAATCAACACAGGAAAACAACATGATAATGATGACGATAAGTCATTACTTATTAGTAATGCCAACAATGTTAATGGCTTTAATTCACCAATCAAAAGAAATAGACTGGCAGAATGGATTAAAAAACAAAATCCAACAGTGTGCTGCATACAAGAAATGAACCTAGTTCAAAAAGAAACTCATAGACAGAAAGTAAAAGGACAGAAAACAGTTGTCCATGGGACAGAAACCTGGCAAAAAGCACAGGTAGTCGAATTTACTTTGCAGACAAAGTAAATTTCAAGCCAAAACTAATTAAGAGAGTTAAAGAAGAGCACTACATGCTTGTAAAAAAGAAGAGATGACAATCATAAATATATATGCACCAAATACTAATGCCCCCAACTATACAAAACAAATATTAAGGGATGCAAAAAACCAAATAAACACTAATACAGTTTTAATGGGGGACCTCAATACACCACTCTCACAAATAGATCATCTAGACAAAAGAAATCAATAACAAAATACTAAAATGAACCAAACTTTAGAACAAATACACTTAATAGACATCTACAGAGTGTTCCACATGAAAAAATCAGAATATACATTCTTTTTGGCTGCACAAGAGTCATTCTCCAAAAAGTGGATGCAATTGAGGCCATACTCTTAAGTTAATAGGATACACATTTATAATACTGAATAGTTTCTATGGTATAAAAATGTAAATATGGATCAACATATATAGTTGATATAGTATAATAGGAAGAAACGGTCTAAAGGAGTAGAAGTGGGAGTGGTAGGGAAAAGGTAAGAAGGGAAAAGAAAATTATGAGAAAAGGAAAAACATGGAAACAAAGTCTTTGTAGATAGGGTGGAGGGGGTGAAGGGAGGGCAGAGGAATGGGGAAAGAATAAGAGCCAAGATATATCATGTAAGGTTACAAGATCCTAATGATGAATGTAACTGTATTGTATATATAAGTTGTACCAATAAACTTAATGAAAATAAATAAATGAATAAATATCTGAAAAGAATTGGCAGGTGGGTATACAAGGAAGTTGAAAAACGTTGCAGGGTAGGGAGCTTCAATAAATATTTGAAAGGAAAATTGCAGTTGGTTAATGAGTAACATCAGT